CCGAAACGTTATAAAAATTTATTTATTTACTACACAGGAATTACCATGTTTCAAAAACAGAAGCTAAAAACTTATATTTGGTATTTAAATAATAATTGTTAAATAATTTTAGTAATTCGATTACATTTATTTGTTTTAAAAGATGTATGACTATATTATTAAAATTAAGAATAATATTTTAAAATTGTAGTTCAATACGAGGTATTCATATACAAACAACCCTTTTAGAAAAAATCTTTATGTATGCAAATACAAATTTAACGGCGAAACAAATGTGCCGAAAAACTTTCTGTCGTTGAAAAAGACCAGACGACATGCGTTGAACGGATGTCATCATTCGTTTGAAAAAGTTACCCCTACCTTACATTGATTTAACCTCATTGAGAAAGTAACTAATATGTTGATACAATAGTTGTCAGTGAAAAAGAATACCCTACCACCCCTTGTTAAAATGATTGGTTTTCCCCATATCTATAAAAACTAATGAATGTATGTGCTTATAAAGCTCCGTAAATTTCAAAATAAGTTATTCCAAAATTCGCCTAAAAATGAAATAGGGACTTTTTAAATTTAATTCTATAATTGAATCTGAAGTTTTAGCTTCTGCTTTTGAAACATGGTAATTCCTGTGTAGCGATGGAACCATATTTTTAAATAAGTAAATTTATAATATTTATGCTCTGTAGATTTGCATTGAGCACTGTTTTATAAAAATAAAAATATTAACAAGAACACCGGATTATATATCTTACTTTTCTTTCTTTTATTACAATATATATATATATATATATATATATATATATATATATATATATATATATACAAGACAAAAAAGTAGGCAAAGCAACAGTAATAAGGCAAATGGTTTACAAAGTAAGAAAGGTATAAATTGATAAAAAGGGATTCTGAATTCAAAAGAAGAAAGGCCAAACATATGGCGGAATAGATCGAGAATTGGTCCATTGAACAGGTTAGGAAGTAATCCCAGCATGCATCTGCACGATTTGTCGATAAATTTGAGGACATGTATTTTTTTTGCAGTCATTGCTACTCCGGTTAAAGCCAACATACTTAAACCATTATAATATTCATAATACAAATTTTATTTATATATATATATATATATATATATATATATATATATATATATATATATATAGTGATTTTCAAGCGTAGCTCAGATGTGGCACAAGGCCGAACGTATGGGACACCCAGTGGGATCAAACCCACTACTCAGCCGTAATTGTTCTTACGAGACTGGCTTGGTAACCATTACACCACCTCGACGTGCCTGAAAATTTATATTATCATATTTGAATTGCTATTCCAGTTTCATATTTTATATGTATATATATATATGTGTGTGTGTGTATGTGTGTGTGTTATGTTGAAAAGCGTTGTAGTACATATATATATATATATATATATATATATATATATATTCGTGTGTGTGAGCACATTGGTTGAATCAATTCTACTGAATGCTCTAAGGTCGTGTGCATGTGTTTTCTATAGATACAAACTTTGCCTTATGCCGACTGCCGTTCTCCTACTGTGTGCGCATGCGTGTCTGTATTTGGTAACGCGTGCGCATGCTCGCCTTTACACATGCATGCACGAATGAAAGAAATTCTGGTCGAGGCAGTTTCCATATTGGACACAATAAAGGCCACCTTTGTGTGAAGCCGAGTTTTGATAACATCGGTCGTTATGACAGCCGAGCAGCGTTCTTATCCGTTGAGTTATCGAAGTCATGTGAAACGATAGATTAGACTGACGCCTTTGCCATGTTACAAACGCCATGTTTTTTTTTTTGTTTTTTTTTAGAATACGAGTGTGTGGTTATCGGCTTTGTCGTGGGGGGCGGTGAGATGGCGGACAGTGGAAGTTGCGAAAAATAGAAGGGAAACCAAGAGGCGCGTTGTACCGTTTTGAAGGATGAATTTTGGAAAAGGATTACAAAAAAAATGATTTGCGAAGGAAGAATTAATAAATTGGAAGAGCGGCAGTCAGGAAATGGAAGCTGCTTGGATGAGACGTAGGCATAGAATTAAGAAAGAAAAAAACAAAAAATGAATGGGAGAAGGAAACGAATGAAAAGTGGCAAGATATAAAGAAAAAAACAGTAGAAAAATTAGGAAAAAAAAAAGAAAGAAAGAAAGAAAGAATACGTTAATAGAAAAGAAAAAAGAAAGTATAAATGAAGGAAAGAAAGAAAGAAATTTAAAAAAGGAAAAAAGAAAGATTATACAAAAAGTGTAAGTGAAGTAAAAAAGAAATAAGGAAAAAAAGAAGGAAAAAAATTTGAAAAAGAAAGAAAGAGAAAACGATAAAGAATGAAAGAAAAGAAAGAAAGAAAGAAAGAAAGAAAGAAAGAAAGAAAGAGAAAATGATAACGGAAGAAAGAAAGAATGGTAAAGAAAGAAAGGATAAAGAAAGAAAGAGGAAATGATAAAGGAAGAAAGAAAGAATGGTAAAGAAAGAAAGGATAAAGAAAGAAAGAGAAAATGGTAAAAGAAAGAAAGAAAGACGGAAAAAGTAAAAAAAGAAAGAGAAAATGATGAAAGAAGAAAGAAAGAGAAAATTGTAAAGAAAGGAAGAGGCTGACGAAAGATTAAAAAAGAAAGGGAAAAAAGAAATTATTGAAGAAAAAAGAAAGAAATAAAGAGTGATGATACAGAAAAAAAGAAAGCCTGCTGTATAAATAGCGGTGTCAGGCTACTGACTGTAGTGATCATTGAATGACTATTGAGTGGAAATATCCAGTCGAATTAGTGTGAATTATTGTGCGTCGATAATTTTGGATTTGATTTAGGATTTACCGGATTTTAAGCTGATCCGCTCTACTAAGAAGGTATTCTCTGAAATGGCTAATTGTCTTTGGTTGACTTTTAATTCTTTGTTCTTAAGTATTTATTTGCGGTTGTAATTAATACTGTTTTATCTTAACAGTGAAGTCTTGAGTTATACTTAATCATTAATGGTCACAAAAGAAAGAAAGAAAGAAAGAAAGAAAGAAAGAAAGAAAGAAAGAAAGAAAGAAACGGTAGTGTCATAACGTAATAAGTAAAAAAAAAATGAATAAATAATAAAAGAAAAAGAAAGAAATAGAAAATGCTAAAGGAAGAAAAGAATAAAGATTCAAGAATGAATGAATAAATAGTAAAGTAAAACCGAACGACGCGGGAAAGAAAAATAAAAAGAATCTTGAAATGAAAACCTAAAAGAAAGAAAAAGAGACAAATGAAGAAAATAAGAAATACAATAAATGAACGAGTGATTTTTTTTATTGAAAAAGAATGAAAAATATTTGAATATTAATAAATAAAATAAACAATTAAATTACTTCTTCGGGTCGTTCATGTTACCAAAAAGTTTCGATCGTTGCGTTTTACATCCTTCATCATGTACAAGAAGGGTTTATTTTTAACGATATTTATTGACTAAGATTTTTTTTATTTATTTTCCTTCTATTTTATGGATATACTGTAATCTTTTAAACATATTTTTATATATTCATTCGCCTATTTTTTCCTTCTTTTGTCTTTGTGTTTATCCGCGCAAATTTTATTTATTTATTATACTTGATGTCGTTTCGTTCTTGTTTCTAAGTAGTCGTCTAAAGTCTCTCTAGGTGTCGGCCATGTCGTCCCAGACACACGGCAAAGAAAAGAAATAGTAAAACAATAATTATTTGGGAGTATGATCATTTTTCCTTCAATTTTTTTTTTCTTTTTTCTTTACTCTTTTATTCTGAGGGTCGATTCGTCGTTGTCCCTTTCCCCATCGGGGTCGTGGGGACGAAAACGGGAGCCTCAAAATGAAAGGCATATAAAAGCAGGCAGGTTGGAATGAAAAGGGAAAGTTAGAATATATTAACAAGCACGATGTTGTAATCAGATGGAGGATATTAAAGTGGTCGTCAGCCGTCTGGAACGAAACTGGACAAAAAGAAGCCCGTTCCTGATTTTATACACACCCGCATTTTTTTTTTCGATTTTTTTTTTAAAGTTTTTATTTTATTACTTATTTATTTATTTTTTACCATCTCAAAATCTTCCTGTTTTTTTTTTTATTCTTATTTCATTCATTAGCCTAAACACATATACACACTTAAACACACGTATACACACAAACGCACACACATATACGCACACATACACAATAACTTCAACTACGCACCCACGCACAACCAGGTATAAACACAGAATCACATATACATACGCATATATATAAACACACACATAACGTAAATTCGCATAATCGCACACATATATACACACAGAAACCCACTTATGTACACAGATACACATATGCACGCGCACACACAAATATATGTATCCACACATACGCACATGCACTATTCATACACATACATTTATATGCACTTACAGACACACATATACATATATAAACATACACCAATACACAAGGACACATAATCAAATGCATGTACGTACCCACTCACACACAAATATACTCAAAGAAGCACATACATATATACATACATACATACACAAATATTCATATATAAATTAGCATACAGCTACATATAATGTGCATAGTCACATGCAAGCTTTGAGTGATTTACACACACTCTTAGATACATATATACATATACACATGTAAAAGCCCACATACATAGACAAGCACGTTGATAATCATAATCTCACACATGTACGCACACAAATAAAAATAAATATGCGCGTAAACATTCATACACATATACACGCACATACATACACAAGCACATACATATATACATACATGTATACATACAAGCACATATATACATACACATATCATTTCTCTTTATTTTTTGACGAATACAAGTGCGTTTGGTCACCGTTTTCTCTGAAAATTTTCATCGTCGCCCCGGCACCCAGCTCCTTTCTTTTTTATTATTTTTATTTTTAGCAGTTTCGGTTTTTAATTACGTTCCGATCTAATCTCAAATTACTTTTCACTGCTTCTACGTTCTAAATCGCAAAGATCTTTCCATGGCTCCTCTCTCTCTCTCTCTCTCTCTCTCTCTCTCTCTCTCTCTCTCTCTCTCTATCTATCTATCTATCTCTCTCTGTCATTATTTCTTTCTCTCTTTCTATTTCTCTCTCTTTTTCTCGTCACTTTCTCTCTTTATCTTCTCTCACTCTCTATGTCTCTCTTTCTCTCTATTTTTCTCTTTCTATTTTTATATATATTTATATATATTTCTCTCTCTCTCTCTCTCTCCCTCTGTCACTATTTCTTTCTCTCTTTCTATTTCTCTCTCTTCTTCTCGTCTCTTTCTCTCTTTATCTTCTCTCACTCTCTATGTCTCTCTTTCTCTCTATTTTTCTCTTTCTATTTTTATATATATTTATATATATTTCTCTCTCTCTCTCTCTCTGTCACTATTTCTTTCTCTCTTTCTATTTCTCTCTCTTCTTCTCGTGTCTTTCTCTCTTTATCTTCTCTCACTCTCTATGTCCCTCTCTCTATTTTTCTCTTTCTATTTTTCTATATATTTATATATATTTCTCTCTCTCTCTCTCTCCCTCTGTCACTATTTCTTTCTCTCTTTCTATTTCTCTCTCTTCTTCTCGTCTCTTTCTCTCTTTATCTTCTCTCACTCTCTATGTCCCTCTCTCTATTTTTCTCTTTCTATTTTTCTATATATTTATATATATTTCTCTCTCTATTTCTCTCTCTTTTTCTCTCTCTCTATTTTCGTTCTCTCTTCATTTCTCTCTCTCTCTATTTCTCTCTCACACTCTCTCACACTCTCTCTATATATAAATTTCCATCTCACTCTATTTCTCTCTATATATTTCTCTCTCGCTCACTCTATTTCTGTAGATTTCTCTCTTTTCTTTCTGTCTCTCTCTCACACACACGCTCTATCTTTCTCTCTCTCTCTCTCTCTCTCTCACACACACACACACACACACACACACACTTTCCCTCTCACGCACGCATACAAACATGCACGGACACACGCATGAACAGGCGTTCCCACCTTATTTAGATTTTATTTCTATCGACCTGGCTGTAAAATAAAACGCCTTCTTTGTTTCTCACTCGTTAATTTACATTTACACACAGCTTTCTTTTTCTGTTTCACTCTCCCTTTAGTTGATTGATATATTTTTCTCATTTTGACAGTCTTTTGTTCTCTCTTACTCTTATTATCTCATAGTTTTACTTTCACTTTCACTTTCATTCCTTTTCGTTCAGTCAGAAAATAATTGCATTTTTCTCCCTCTCACGGTATTTTAACTGTCTCACACACATTTTCTCAATTTTACTTTCACTTTCACTATCGTTCGTTCATTCATAGATAATTTCTTTTTATGACTCTTACAGCCGTTGACTATGTTTTACTGTTATTTTCTTATGGGTTTTACTTTCACTATCTTTCGTTCATTTCTATATAATTTTCTTTTCTCTCCCTCTCAGTGCCTCAGTCTTTACTTATAGGTTTACTTTCACTTTCACTCTCTTCCGTTCATTCATGCAACACTTTTTTTTCACTCTATCTTTTTCTGTTTCACTTTCATTTTCTCTTAATGTTTACTTAATGTTTCACTCCCTTCCGTTCATTCATGCATAACATCTTTTTTTCACGTTCTCTTCCTTTTTCTCTCTTTCATTCTCATTTTCTTATGGTTTTTACTTTCACTTTCACTCTTTTCTTTTTATTCATGCATAACTTATCTTTTTTTACTTTATCTTTTTCTTTGTTTCACTTTCATTTTCTCTTAGCGTTTACTTTCACTTTCACTCTCTTTCGTTCATTCATGCATAACTTATCTTTTTTTTTCCTCTCTCTTTTTCTTTGTTTCATTCTCGTTTTCTTATGGTTTTTACTTTCACTTTCACTGTTCCGTTTACTCATGCATGATTTCTATATTTCTTGCTTTTGCAACATTTCTTTCACTTATTCTTTCACTCTTTTTAGCGCTCACCCGCGATCTTTCTTTCACTTTCATTATCTGTCTTCCTTTCTATCTTTCTTCCGCCATTACTCCCACTCTTTTTTCTTTTCTTTTTTTACATTGCCTCTCCTTGCTCGGCTCGCTTTTTACGACTCTAGACACTTTTATCACAAACGCCATAGATGCGTGATAATAAACATGTATACTACACCTGCTCATAAACACCCACTCCTATATAAGATCATTCCATATGTAATGAACGGTATTAAGTTAAAATATTCTTTAGGAAATCATGTTTAATTAGATTTTGTTCATTAATACATATTCCATCATTATGAAAACTTTGTTTCCAGCTGGATACATAATACCGTTTTTGTAAAGGTTTCGTTCGTTTAGTTTAGTGTTTTTACGGTATATCAACCTCAATGGGTTATTTAATGCCGACAAGATTTTTATGATAGGTTCGTATGAATAGAATATGTATTCTTTGTAAGAAATCATTTTCTAGCTCAGGTTTCATTGACGTATTTTTGTAAAGAGAGTTTTTGTCGAGAGTCTGGTTTGGTGTATCATGTTTTACGGCATATCAACAACTCAATGGGTTATCTAATGCCGATAAGATTTTTAGGGTAGGTTCGTATAAATAGATATGTATTCCTTATAAGAAATCTGTTTCTAGATCTGGTTTCATTGACGTATTTTTGCAAAGAGGGTTTTGTCGAGTGTCAAATGTATTACTGGTAATATTTCTTTTTAAAAACATGTATTGCTGTTTTTTTTAATATAAAAATCTATTTTTATACATTCACAATATTTTGACCCCAGTTTGAGAGTTACCTATTTGTCCATAGCTGGAATCCTAACTAGTGGTACCGCGCTGGGTCAGGGTGCACCTGTGAACAACAGTATTTAAGAGGTGGTTCCACGCTCTCTAAAACCATCCTATCAGAAACCTTGCCGTCGAGTATATTGTATAGCCATACCTAGGACGGACGGTTTTTATAAAGGTTTTCTGGTTTTGATGATAAGAATTTGAAGAGGGTAGATTCCTACCATTCTTTTAAAAAGGAACCAATAAAAATGGCTCTGAAATATCAGAATCGGTAGAGAATAAAGAAAATGTAGAATATCTTTTTCTAGCTAGTGTCTTCAATCCATTCTGATATTATTGAGAACCCCGAAGTGTACATAGGGATCAGGACAAGAATTAGGCTACTAGGCTTTTTTTTCCCATAAACGGACGCCTCTGACGCCAGGGATTAATATTAATCTCTTCCTGAAGGACTGGTATTGCTTCGGGGTGGAAAGGAGCAACGCCAGTCCCTGAGACTGAAGCACGTTCTACCACATTTTGAATCCCTGGCGTGAGTACACCAGATAAGTGATCTTTGCTTTATGGTGATCTGATTAAAAGTGTTGAAACACCACACGTTTGACCAAACGGAGTCGCTATTATTTCAAAGAAGTCTTGAAACTTTAAGCCTGCTGACGACAGATGCCTGCTGGAATCGTAATATTGGAAGGTAGCAAAATAAGGTGAAAAATACAAAGGCAACCCCGCTAAAAACGCATACACAATATTTGGTAGAGGTCCAGTCTGTCTGTCTATCTATCTATCTATCTATCTATCTACCTATCTATCTCAGTATCTTGCTTTTCTATCTAGGTATATTTGGTAGAGGTCCAGTCTGTCTCAACCTGTGTGTATCTATCTGCTTAGGAAGCGAGCTAACCATCTTCTGGTCATGATGGCTCTGTTCATATCTATCTATCTATCTATCTATCTATCTATCTATCTATCTATCTATCTATGTCTATTCATATCTATCTATCTATCTATCTATCTATCTATCTATCTATCTATCTATCTCAGTCTCTTGCTTTTCTATCTGGTTATATCTATCTATCTATCTATCTATCTATCTATCTATCTATCTATCTATCTATCTATCTATCCATCTATGTCTATTCATATCTATCTGTCTATCTATCTATATCTATTCATATATATCTATCTATGTCTATTCATATCTATCTATCTATCTATCTATGTCTATTCATATCTATCTATCTATCTATCTATGTCTATTCATATCTATCTATCTATCTATCTATCTATCTCACTCTCTTGCTTTTCTATCTATCTATCTATCTATCTATCTATCCGATCTAACAGAAAATATCTATCTATCTATTTTTTCTATCTTTCTATCTGTATTCCTTTATACATCTATCTCAATCCGGGATAAACAGAAAATGTTTCATAATTGTTTTTTAGTATATTTTCTTCATAGATACATATATACATAAGAATAGACTGAGATAGATAGATAGATAGAATAGACTGAGATAGATGAATAGATAGATAGATAGATAGATAGATAGATAGATAGATAGATAGACACATACATACATACATGATAGAATAGATTGATAGATGAATAGATAGATAGATAGATAGATACATAGATACATACATACATAGATAGATGAGAATACATTGAGATGAGAATAGATTGAGATAGATAGATAGATAGATAGATAGATAGATAGATAGATAGATAGATAGATAGATTTGATCAGAATATGGAATGGAGATATTGTCTGTGATTATCCCAGAATATAACGCGATATTCTGTTATATTTTAATTTCTTGCGACTAATATTTCTTTCCTTGACATTTCTAACACCCAGATTCATGTCTTCTTCTTCTTCTCGAGTCCTTTTTTTTCTAGTTTTCGGTCTCTTTCCCCGGGAAGTATTTACCCTTTTGATTGTGAATCTAATTAAGTCGATATAAAAAAAAAACACGAAAGTGGCAAATGAACGCCACGATCTGTTTGTAATTGTAATTATTGACGATATGAATTTAATGAAATCCATTCTAACGGCTGTGAAAGTATTTAAAGACCTTGTTTAATTAGACCTTAATTTCTCTAATGAACAGGAAATTGTAATTCATCTTCTTTGCCGAAAAAACCTGGAAGAAAAAGCACACGTCTTGTTTTGTTTTTTGTTCTTTGGGTTTTTTGGGGTTTTTCTGTTTGTTTGTTTTTTGGGATTTTTTTTTTTTTGTTCTCACCACTGGGAATAGGATTTTTTTTTTATTTCTTTGATGTGGCTGTTTTTTTTTTGTTTTTTGTTTTTTTTTGTTTTTGTTTTTTTGGTGGATACCAAAAACTGTCGGAAGGATTGTGTTTTTTTTTGTTTTTAATTTTTTGGGGTTTGGATAATGAAACGAACGAATCCTTGAGGCGGGTAAACAAATACTGTTTTTTTTTATTTTTTTATTTTTATTATTATTGACTTTGACCCTTTTTTTTCTTTAAAGTGAACGAAAATAAAGAAAATAGATAAATAAAAAACAAAGTAAGGTAAATAGTCATCAGATTTTTTTCTTAAAAGCATTCTTTTTTTTTCTCAAAATATTTATTTAATTTTGTTTTGTTTATTTGTATATTCCTCTTTCAAATGTCACAGAAGTAAATATATGTCTCTACGCGCATAACTGTGTCAAGCCTTACATCTCCCTCCCCCCCTCTCTCTCTCTCTCCCTCTTCCTCTCTCTCTCTCCCTCTCACCCTCACTTTCTCTCTCTCCACTCTCTCTCTCCCTCTCTCCCTTTCTCCTCTCTCTCTTCTCTCTCCCTCTCCCTCTCTCCCCCTCTCCCTCTCTCTCCCCCTCTCTCTCCCTCTCTCTCCTTTCTCTCTATCACTCTCTTATCTCCCTCTCTCTTCCTCTCCCTCTCTCTCCCTCTTCCTCTGTCTCTCCCTCTGTCTCTCCCTCTCTCTCCCCTCTCTCCCTCTCCCTAAATATATATGTAAACATACACACACACACACACACACATATATATATATATATATATAATACATAAAAGTTAATGGTCAGAGTTTCCCCTTCTTCTTCTTCTTCCCATTCTCCTCCTCCTCCTTTTCTGTTACACCCAACGTCTTGCGTTTGTTTATTTATTTTGGAAAATAGTAATATAGCCTTCATTAGTTTCTTTTAAAAACATAAAGCGTTAAGAGGTCATTTGGTAAAAAAACGCCTGAGGAGACCGTCAGTTTGAAACCAAGGTAGCGGATTCAACTAACCTCCTGATTTTTAAAGTACACACACACACACACACACACACACACATATATATATATATATATATATATATATATCTTAGCTCTCGACAAAATAATTTCATCGGTTGAGCACTGTGGGGAGTAAGGAACGAATCTGTTACTATAACTGCTGATAATGCAAGACTCTCCTAACGGATTGAGTTCTCTGAGTGACTGATGTGTTTATTAAAAAATAGATACGCAAAAATTCACCTTTCTTTCTGCCGGGCGTCTATGGCTTAGGGGTTAGATTCTCCGACTGATCGGGTTTCGGTTCCGGCCTGAAGCAATCGGATGTCTAGTTACACTGATGAGCTGTGATACACCGAAACAGTCTGTCTGTGGATGACGGTATATATATATATATATATATATATATATATATATATATATATATCTAGTTATATGTTATCTTTATAGATATAAGTTATTTAAATAAATGCTCTGTTTTTTTTAATTAAAGACTGTTAATTACATTTACTGACCTGAATGTGCGAGAAATTTACTGGAAAATATTCGTCCTCCAATAAGAATGGAAACTGTATTTCTATACAGAAAACGTCATTTGACCTGACGTGCTGTACTATTCAGCTACAGAGAAGCGCCTAGTTTTCAAAATTCTAATTGGTGTTTATAAACAAACACCTTCGGTGATTTTTCTTGATCGATTATTTCTGCTCACGTATGCAAAGAAATAAATTAAATAATTGTCGGACTCAATTGATTTCAGAATATGTTGTCATTGTTTACGTTAAGATACGTTTCGTGAGCAGATATAATCGATCGAGAAAAATCGTCGAAGGTGTGTGTTTATAAACAGTAATTCGAACTTTGCAAACTAAACGTGTGTGTGTAATCAGCAATCTTTCTTTCATGCACATTTCATTGAATACGATAGACAAGGTGCTTTGATTTAGTTTTTTTATATAATTTCTCATGCTATCTAATATATTTTCGTTTTTTAGAAACTTAATGATGTTTAGTTTTTCATTTAGGCATAAAGGGGATGAGTCATCCCAGGTTTTAGAAGTTCTTGTTCTATTTATTATTTTCCATTTTACTTTTAGTGTTTTATTTGTTTAAAAAACGAAAATTTATTAAATCAAAGAAATGAGATAACGGTTTTTTGTTGACACCACCAAACATTCGCCTTAAATAATTAGAATTTTATAAATGGACGAATAATAATAATAATAATAATAATAATAATAATAATTTCCAAATCTATTACCAAGTACAATTAAAATAACAGGTTTAAAAACACAACCTATTCATAATCTTAAAGCCCCTTTAAGAAATCATCAACAAAAAAAAAAAAAAAAATAAACATCAAAAACTACCAGAACTACAACATGAATCAGAGTTTTAGCGGGGAGTCGGATAAGATTAGCCATTGTAACCAGACAAAATAAAACAAACCAACCCTACCTTACACGACTACAAAAACTTAGCATATAACAAACACACCTACCTCAATCAAAGCAGTAACCCCTTGATAATGAAAAACAAACTCTAGACCCCCTCCCCATTTCAAAACTATAAATGAGTAAAACATTCCGTAGCAGAGTTATTCCAAACATCGCTTGAGAATGAGACTGCCACCCGGTATTTAGGGTTTAATATTGAAATTAAACTTGAATACTGCTGACCAGTTTCGAAACAGTAAATTCTGTGTCGTGATGGTATCATATTAAAATATTATAATATATATATATATATATATATAAAGCATGTCATATATATAACTATATATATGTATAAAGCACGTCATATCTATATATTTATATATATATATAAACATCATATATATATATATATATATATATATATATATATATATATATATATATATATGACATTATTTGTTACTGATCACGATAAAGATTTTTTTAATAAAAGGAACCATATACTGACTAATCCTGATAAAAAATAAGAAGGATTACATATATATATATATATATATATATATATATATATATATATATATATTAAGAAATGGACAAAGTCCGACAATTTATTTATTAAAGGCATTTTTATGTTTAACGTTCGTTTTATAGATACAAGTATTTAAGTAAATGCTCTGCTTATAAAATGTTATTTAATACTGTTTATTATAAACAGAGCATTTACTTAAATACTTGTATCTATAAAAAGAACGTTAAACATATATATATATATATATATATATATATATATATATATATCAGTTTGTGTCAGATCTTTTCTTGTAGTACATTGTAACCAAAATTATTTTTGAGACTATTTGCTATATTGTAAATGGTATTTACTTGCTATGCTGTATGAACCGGATCTTTTTAATTATTTGATATATTTTATCCGTAGAAAATATACAAATTTTGATATATTTGGTATACATTCTTCCCACATCCCAAGACAAATAATACAAATATTAGGTTTTCGTAAGAAATCTCCGACCGATACAAGGCCTAAGAGCCACGCAAGTTAGAGAAGAACTGAATAAGGTATGGGATATGCAGGTAAGAAGATAAAAAGTAAAATTATGAGGATATGTGACATAGTTGACCAATTTCGAAACATTAATTTCTGTGTCGCGATGGAATCATATACAATAATAATAATTCTAATATATATATATATATATATATATATATATATATATATATATATGGGGGGATAACGAGATAGAAATTGTTATATATCAAGAGTAATTTTGAGGGAAAGATGTGAAAATAGAAAAAAGTTTCCTTGTATTGCGTTTCGTTATTTAGGATTTCATCAGACTAAGTTTATTTTTACGTTGATGCGACTACGCATGCGCACGAACGAGAGACGCTGGGAATTTTAAATTTAATTTTTTTTTTGTTTTAAATATGTATTTTGGGTTTATAATCTAACCCGTTTCATTTAGATTCTTTTTCTTTTAGCGTCCATCATTTTTCCTATTAAATGTTCCAAACTGCGTCAATAGAAGATCTGCCAAGAATGGTGAAACGTTTTAAGAACATGGAACCAAATTTGCTGTGGACGATCTAGCGATTAAAGCACTTTCTATACATTTTCGTCTTAGTAAATTGTTTTCTCTTTTAATTAGTCTCACTGATATAAACAAACATACTCTAATGAAATAATATTCATAATATTCTTTGTTACAT